TGAATTGTGTAACTTGGAATAAACTCTCCATCTTTGTGGCATAAAACATTGCCCATTGACTGTCAGTCATATTGTTTTCCCTTCGAAAATTGTAGCACAAACTGTTTCCCCTGACAACAATAATTCAACAGTTTAGATAAGTGCTAAACAATCCCAAACTTTAAATAAACCATTCCCGAGTGATAGGGTTTTGCCAACTGTTGCATGTGCTCTCTTAGTCAGGACTGCTACAGCATGGAAAACAGTGATTTTGGGGTCCCAAAATGACAAATATACAAATTTTCTGACCTTTATCTATTGGGTTTTGTGTCATGTTTAAAATCTTGGTGTGAACCAACACTGTCAAGAATGTGTCTGGCCAATGATTCAGCTGCGCAGGAAGTTTTTGAACAGGGTATTGTTGAAGTTTATCCATGTGTGTATGTGTGTTTGAGCTTCCTGGCCGATATCATAAATATGCCATTGCACTGCACTGTTGCCCCGTTATCACAAAACCATTAAACCTTATACCTCCAACACCCAGCTTTCCTGCATGTGTGTGTTTGCCCAAATGTTTTATTATCACCATTTCCTAAGGCTGTCTCCCTTGTGAAATATCACTGTTGTCGTAAGGTCCTTTGGCTCCAATTTCCTTTTTGTTGAAGATTTGTGGGTGGATAATTTACTGTGTGTATCCCACTACAGTGAAATGCAAACACTGAAATACCAAAATGCTGCTGCACCTATTATGAGAAGCCATGTCATGAAGTCTATGTCACAGTTTCCCAATTCCCACTGATGTACAACACATGAACAATAAAACAGTACATATTTTATACTGTCTGTTTGGGTCAGCATTCATTTCACTATATGAAGTACACTGTACTGTATATACTGCTGTTCAAAAGGTTGGGGGAAGTTTTTTTGTTTTTGTAAGAAGTGTCTTATGCTCACCTTATGCTACATTTCTTTGATACAATAAAAACGTATCTTGGATATATTCTGGTTGTCAAACTTTGTGGAACATGTACCTATTTTAATATTTAAATAATGAAATCAATTGCTAATGTATAATTTCATACTAAATGTATTTATATTATCAAAAGAACAGGACATTTAATAATCCCAGCTTGGTTTTAATCATTTGATGTATCATTACAGCATGTCATGATGAAGTAGGCCATTGCTCTGGGCCTCATGCCCCAATTTTATTAAATTTTTTTAAATGTATACTTTTGGTTCGGACCTGTGGATGGTGTCCTGTCCCTCTGGCCCCTCTGGCTGTGGGTCTGTTGATCCTATTGTCTTCTGCATCAACACTCGTGGTCTGGTGCATAAAGGGCATCTGGTTAGCAGCTTAGACTCTACGGCAGGCATGAAAAGCAGCCATCATAGCCCATTCGCTCACATCTGCTCAGTGGTGCGACAAGGACGAGGACTGAGTCTGGGTGACTGGGGGACAGGAGTTCAATTCGCCCCACAGGCCCCAGGAGCAACGGACGGAACTGGACTGCACTGGACCCACCACTGTGCAAAGGTGACCATTTAGGCTCAGTTAACTTTGGCTCTCCATTTAAAGCAATAGCTTTTTTGTCCAGTTTTGTTTTATGTCTAAGATGGCCTAAATTGTTGAATGTGAGCCTGTTGGTGATGTGTTTTGGCAATGGTATATCTGAGTCTTACAGTTGTTTCCTGGTCTTGTTTGTAAATGATCTGTTCAGTCTAGTTTTGTTTATCAAGAAGTTTGCTTATTAATGAGAAGGTGCATTTGGAAAATATTTTTCATAATATCTTAACAATAACTTTATTATAAAAAAACAAAACCGCAAGCGTATGATATATCAGGTTTATCATGTAAGTAAAACACTCTTGGACCATCTTGTTTCTCCCTAATTCCCATTTGTCTTTCTTGTACACAGCTAATACACAACCATGGGAGACTGGAGCTTCTTGGGTAATATTTTGGAGGAAGTAAACGAACACTCCACTGTGATTGGCCGCGTTTGGCTCACAGTTCTGTTCATTTTCCGCATTTTAATTCTGGGCACGGCAGCAGAGTTTGTCTGGGGAGACGAGCAGTCTGATTACATATGTAACACTAAGCAGCCAGGTTGCGAGAATGTGTGTTACGACGAGGCCTTTCCAATTTCCCATATCCGTCTATGGGTGTTACAAATCATTTTTGTATCCACACCTTCGCTTGTATACGTTGGCCATGCTGTCCATTACCTCCACATGGAGGAAAAACGAAAGGAGCGTGAAGAAGCCGAGGTTAGCCACCAACAGGAAACAGGCGAGGAGCATCTTCCACTTCCAGATCAGGGAAGTGTTCGCACCACCAAGGAAACCAGCACGAAGGGTAGCAAAAAGTTCAGACTCGAGGGCACTCTGCTTTTCACCTACATATGCCATATCATCTTCAAAGCTCTTTTTGAAGTAGGCTTCGTAGTTGGACAGTACTTCCTCTATGGGTTCCGCATCCTGCCGCTGTACAAGTGCAGTCGTTGGCCGTGCCCCAACACGGTGGACTGCTACGTCTCCCGGCCCACTGAAAAGACCATCTTTATAATTTTTATGCTTGCAGTTGCTTGTGTCTCACTGTTCCTTAACTTTGTGGAGATCAGCCACCTTGCCTTGAAGAAGATACGATTTGTATTCCACCGACCAGCTCCAGCACAGTTGGAGCCTCTTGGACCACCTGAGAGGAACTTACCATTCCTTCTGAGCACCCCTGTCCAAAAATCCAAGGGTTACAGGCGCCTTGAAGAGGAGAAGAAAGACGAGGTGGCGCACATATATCCACTAGCTGAGGTTTGTATGGAAGAGGGACAGTTCTTCTTACCTCAGCTGGAGAAGGAGCAGAAAAGGAGTCAGGAGGCGGTTATGGCAACAGCGCCACCTGTAGAGGAGACAATCATATGTGATGATACTCAACCCTCCTTCATTCAGGTCACAGAGACACTACCAGAGCTTCCACCAGAAGAACCACTTCGGGAAGGAGATGAGGTAGACAGCATAAAAACTCCGACAGCTTTACCAGAAGTACTGGAGGAGCGTTCAGAAGGGGAAAGTGTGGAGGAAACATATTTAATATCACTTGAAGAGAGTTTGGATATAGATCTAGGAGAACTGGCCTGTAGAGAGGTGCCTGAGGAAAAGTCAGCGAAGGAGAGTAGCTTAATAGATGCTGAGCCAACACAAGAAGAAAAACTTTCAGAAGCTGAAGATGAAAAGGAAAACTTACAGGAAATTGAGGAAAAAGAGCATAACACCTTTAAGTTCCAAGAGTTGAGGGAAGAAGGGAGTTTACCTGATGTGGTTGAGGAAGCGACAGCAGTTGCAGTGTCTGATGATGAGAGGGAACTTTGTGAAATTGAGCCTTTTGTAAATGAGGACATTTTGGAAAAGGCCAAAACTTTAGATGATGGTAAGATTACTGGAGATCTGGACATGTGTAAAATATCTGAGGGGGAGCAAGAGTTTGAGGCTTTATGGGAGGTAGCAGGGTCAAATTTATCTGACATAGAGCCCATTGGGGATGAATTGGATATGGGAAAGGGCAAAGCTAAGGGGGGTATAGAAGATATGGAAGGGGATGGAGTTCAACGGGATGTAGTAGACTCAGAAGTGGGCAAAGCTTCAGAGGAAGTAGTAGATATAGGAAAGGGTGAATCTATAGAGGGTCTAGTGGATGCAGGAAGTTGTGGTGCTTTAGAAGATGTATTAAAAACAGGTATGAATGAAGCTTTAGAAAATCTAAATGAAGTTAGACCTTTTGATACTGCAGTCAATAAAGGTGAGGAGGTTCTAGATAAAGCTGTAGAACTTGCTGTTGACACTGAACAGGTGGAAACTTTGGGAAAGGAGGAGGTATCCTTGAAGATAGAGGATCCAGAGGAGGTCCAAGTCTCTAGGGAGTGTGATGGGTCAGGGAAAAAAGAGGATTCTGTGGAAACTGGAGGCCCAGAGAAGGAGGAGTGTTCTGAAGAAATGGAGGGCACAGAGGAGATGATGGATGTTTCACTTGTAGCTCTGGAACTAGAGAAAACAGAGGAAACAAGATCATTAAGTCGTCTCAGCAAAGGTAGCAGCAGAGCCAGGTCAGATGATCTTACAATATGACTGAACACAACAAGCAGAAACTTGACATAGAAAAAGCCCCAAATTCCCAAGTGCCACATTATCAGGTAAATCATTGGACAAGCATGTTTTCTTGATCAGGGGTTTTCAAAATGTCATGAAATGCCCCTTGCAGGTGAACCCCTTACTGAATGTATATACTTCATGTATAAAGGCCCATTAATACTGTATGAGAAAAAATATTATGAATTTCTTTGTAACCACCTAGAGTTCTGGACACAAGTTTGAAAATCCCTATTCTAGATGATACTTTTGTTTTACACACAAGTTCATCTAAAAAGAAAGGCAAAGGTACAAGAACAAAAGAACAATGAATGATTTAGATTATGGAAATAAAAAATTACAATCTTCTATAAAAAGTAGTAGCTTATTTCTCACAATGAACATTACTAAGGACATACTTTCAAACATAATTGTAATATCCTTTTTAGTCTTGCTTTTCAAAAAGACTCTTTCTTTATTTATTCAATTTATTATACTGTAACTCCCATGCAAGATCATCCCAGAGAGTGACTTTCTGAATTTCTATCTGTCTATTGCTTTGACTATTTATGTTAATCTATACATTTGCCTATTACCGTTTTATGATTATCCTGGGCCATAATAATTGTGTTTATAAATCTACAATCAATTTGTTTACAACATTTACATTCCTTTTCAGTAACATCTGGACTTCTGATACAAAGTTAATTAAAAAGACAGAATATTGTAATTGAGAAGCGGTAGGGTTTGATTGCAGGTAGCAGGACTAATATTTATATCGACTGTACCACTAAAAAAAGAAAAGGATTTTATGATGCGTGTAATACCTGTTTTCTTTTTTTTGAAGACCCTAAATAAAGATACCACACTGACCGATGACCAGTTGTGCTGTTTGTATTCATTTAAATTTTCACCTGCCCATGACCAACAACAATATCTGACAATCAACAATGATTTTTAAAAAGTGTAACAAAATTGTATTTTCGGAAAAGGTATAAAAGCACGTTACATAGTGAAATTGGACAAAGATTACACGTGTATGACCTCTAGTGCTCATACACTGAAAGAACAACAACCAACCAGAAAAGAAAGTACAAGGTCAGGGACAAATGTGACCCAAAACAACCCTTCAAACCAACATGAAAAAACATGAAATGTGTCAACATATTTTTGTTTAGTATCAGTGTGACATTGTGGGTGTTTTGCAACTTCTTCAGACACGTATTTTGCAACCTTGACACAAACAGGACCATAGTCATACATTTACAAAAACAGTGTCTACAGAGTGTCTGTTTATCTTTGTTTCTGTTCACAAGATATGTTCTGTTCATGCCTACATGGCCAACATAAAAATGAAATCCACACAGTGTATTTATTTACATAATAACATACATAATTAACACCCACATACATAATTATTTCAAAGTGAGATAGCAGAAGTGCAGTCACAAAAAAGACCAGTGCATTATGCATATCATCATATTTGAATCAGTGGATCAAAGTGCTTTTGATACTGTCCAGTACAGTGGCTGCATATTGTCATTTTTCTTTCTCTTCTGAACCTAACACACGGCAAAGACTATTTTCAATTCACTTAAGTTTTTTCATTCAAACAAATTAGCTAAATTTTGTCATGTGACTATATTCTGTGCAGATTTCGCTCTTCACAGACATTCAAAGAAACGTAAGAATGATAATAATGAGTCTGTCTTGATTTAAAGGTGTTTCTTATAATATATTCTTTTTAGATAAAAAAAGCAATAATTTACATCCACTCTGATATCGTCAGTCACACGTCTTTAAAAGTTTTCTTTTCTGCCTACAGGTAATGATGTCCTGAGAGCTGTCATATTGGTGGTATGGTGATGCCAAGGTGAGGATTTGATAATTAAGTCTTTCAAAAGATGCCGTTCAAATGATGATTGTCAACCTAGAAATGGAAAGAAAATATACAGTCACTGAAAATACCCTTCTACTGCAAATAACTTTTATTTCCCTATGTTTTCTTTGTTTCTCTTTCCAGATTATGAAATGTTTCTCTTTCTATATGAAGGAAGAATTTCATCTCGCCCTTTCTTGTAAATGCACAGCTTCTTGTGCTTACAAGAAGGGACAACAACACATACGTGAAAGAGTGAAAGTAACACATACGTAAAATAAACGCCTCACCTTTTTCCATCTGATCTATGTTGAGGCTTCTGTATCAAAATGAAATCCTAAAAATAAAAATAAAAAACCTTAAACAGAAGTTAGATCATATATTCTATGGCACTAAATAGATGGATTTCCAGTGTGGAAAACATGAATATAACATGCACAATATGTTTAAAGTCTGCCATTCCAGTTTGGTTAGAATAAGTTTTACATCCAAACACCTGAAGTGGTTTTCAAACAGCAGTCAAATCTTATAGGAAGGGCCCCTTGATCCAGTCTCTGTAATATAAGTCTCTTGATTTTTAAATTACATGCTATGAAACTATTTCTCTCGCCCTCATTTTGACCATTATAAAGGTTTTCTGCAAATTTTACTTTTCATGTTTCTGACATATAAATGTGCTACATGAGCAAACAAACATCTGTAGAAACATGATCTCAGTATGATACCTTTTCCTTAAGTAATGTCTTCATGATAAAGTCCATAATTGGAAGCATGCTGATCAGCTGCCCTTTTTTCCATCGTCTGTAAAGATTCAACAGTTCTACTCTAGCGCATCCTTCTTGACACACCGAGGACTAAACGAAAAGAGAGAAATGAACAAGACCGTCAAATACGCTTTCATATGCATAGGATTAAAAGGTATGATCAAGTAATGAAGCTTTTTCTTATCACTGACCTTTGGAAGTGACTGCAAAATATGAATTAACCACTGAAAATCTTTTAGAGCATCTTTCAGGCTCTGATCTTGATGCGTTTTGATGTTCAGAGCTTCCAGACTCCTGAATTTCTCAACAGTGGAAATCTGATGAGATACCAAGTTTTCATCAATAAGTACTTTACAACTCATCTTTTAGTTGTATCTGTAATAACTTTTCTGTGATTATATTACATTTCAACAGATACAGCTGAGGCTGATACACTATTTGTTGTTTTGAATGCATTACATTTTTATCAGTAAACATTAGCTTAGATGAACCAAAGGGACTAATAACAGAAGCCCCCTAACTAGTCATTTTGTTTCATTTTCATTTGAACATATCCATGACCTTAACACACAAATCATAAATTCCAATACATTTGAAATTCTATGAAAATTTAACGGGTGTAGGCAGGGTTCAAAATGATGCGTCTTATTTCGTCCATGGAATATATGGCTTGTTTTACGTTTCAGTTCCTTATAAGCTAGGATTTTTATTTATTTATTCCAAATCCATTTTTACATCTCAAGTCACTATTACCTTGCCTATGTTGTTCTTGTATTTTGACCTCAAACATTTCAGCTCTTTAGACCATCTGAAAATAAAACCTTTACATTCTTCTAAACTCAAGTCATCAACCATCTTAAAAGCTTGGGACTGTCCAGAAACCTGAAATATCAAATAGCAGAAAGAGTTACTCATTCATTGTCTAGACAAGAAGAATGCCAATGTAGATATCAGTAAAAATTAGCTTAGATGAACCAAAGGGACTAATTACAGAAGCCCCCTAACTAGTCATTTTGTTTCATTTTCATTTGAACATATCCATGACCTTAACACACAAATCATAAATTCCAATACATTTGAAATTCTATGAAAATTTAACGGGTGTAGGCAGGGTTCAAAATGATGCATCTTATTTCGTCCATGGACTATATGGCTTGTTTTACGTTTCAGTTCCTTATAAGCTAGGATTTTTATTTATTTATTCCAAATCCATTTTTACATCTCAAGTCACTATTACCTTGCCTATGTTGTTCTTGTATTTTGACCTCAAACATTTCAGCTCTTTAGACCATCTGAAAATAAAACCTTTACATTCTTCTAAACTCAAGTCATCAACCATCTTAAAAGCTTGGGACTGTCCAGAAACCTGAAATATCAAATAGCAGAAAGAGTTACTCATTCATTGTCTAGACAAGAAGAATGCCAATGTAGATAATCTCTCAATTGCTCATAATTTAGCTATGTCAAGACAGAGATAATCTTATATGAAAGTTTATCAGCAGAAACCATGTGTAATCTACCTTTGCTGTGACTCTGTTTAACTGTGTTGCTAGGTCTATTATAATATTGAAAGCGTCCAAGGTGTTTTGCTTCTGTGTGGATACAAAGACATAGACACATGCATGTATAACTGTCATTCAAAACAAAGCATAATGAATTTATAGGCTGATTTAATTAGTAACTAAATCAGTGTAAGTATACCTGTAGAAATGTTTCCTTTGATCCTAATGTATTCCTTAACCTGTTTACCTGTTAGATAAAGTTTGGTTAAAATAAATCGGAAAAGTTACGGCCCTCCTTGTCTGTTCATGTTTTTAATCAGCAAACAAAAAAACTATGCACACATTCAGATACCAGTAGACGCAGATGTTTCATGATGAAAACCTACTATTGTAGTAGACAACTCTGGCTTTGTGAATGGTTCAGACGTACGATCATATTCTATTTTAACAGTCTTGCAAATAATTTTAGTTTTCCATGTGGACACGACATCCTGTCCTTTAAAAAAAAAGCATCACATTAGCATGTAAATCTGCATATTGAATGAGAAAGTAAAGCCAACTGAATGACCTGTTGACTTTTAAACCAATAGCACATATTTCCATTATCACAAGGTCATTATCTGTATATTTATTGACTTACCGTTCCTTGGCAAATCATGCAGATTCCGAATGGACTTGGACAAAATCCCCATGTTCTTATCCTTATATATGTCGTAGGCTATTTCATTTAGACGAACGCTTGAGAATATAGGCTACCGAACAGTTGTTTTTACAATATATTCACTGGGTGGCGCTTCTGCAGCCTACAAGCCTGTGGGCTTGTCCTTAAACTGAAATCACGTGATTAACGAGAACCAGGCTGTCAGTGATGTGAAGGTAAAGCCGGTGTCATGAGAAATCGAGTCGGGGGGATTCGATTTCTCATGACACCGGTGTCCTGACATTTTAGCCTACCCGTCAGATTGTCCTACCAGGGTGCGCATGCGCACATCAATATTGCGTCCTTTTTCTCATGCTGAACAATATTTAATCTATCTGCATTACTGTAAGGGTAGGTTTGCGGTTGGGGTAGGTGTAGACTTTAATAAAACAATATAATAGGTAGAAAAAATATTGTTGGTTTCCTTTAGCTGTATCCCTTCTAGCTACAACCGTGAATATAACACATAATTACTGTATTTTCATTACTGTAAGGGTAGGTTTAGGGTTGTGGTAGGTGTAGACGTTAATAAACCATAATTTTACAAGTAGCATTTTTCGTTGTCGAATTGTACTACCCACTATTTTCATGGGAGGTAGCAAAATCTGACAGGGTAGCACAAATCGACAGAACATCACACTTTATTTTATAAAATAACGTGGCCACACTTTAAATAAATTGAGGAAACGAATTAATACAATATTTTTAAAATGCTCACGTATTAATAAGTCATGGTAAAGATATATAAGCTATCAGTTGTGTGATATCTTGATTTTCCTCCCGGAAGTTATGTGCATCTGATATGTTTCGTCGGTACACCTGGGATTCGTAGGGGACTGCCCAGCTTGAGGAAGAAGAAAATAAGCTTGTTCGACTTCATGCGGCGCCGCAAAGATCGACTGGCGCCTGTCAAAAGCAATGCATTCTGGTTAGAACATCTGTCCGACTTTGATCGGCGCTGCGAGAGCAAAACGAGACCAGCCGACTAGCTAGCTAGGTCAGGCGCTGCAGTTGCTCAAAATCTGCTGCGAGAGCCTTGAAGACGACACACTTTATTCTCATTGGTTAGATTCTGGGATGACAAGCACGACGTGTGTTGCGTGTTTATTCCGGTTTTTATACAGTCTATGGTTTATTCTAACAATTCAATTAAAAAAACGCTCACAAATCTGGGTTTCTATAACAGTAAAAGCATTTTTAGTGTAGTCGCACTCAGTGACGGCGCTACACCGGGGCTAGGGGGGGCTATAGCCCCGGTTTAGCCCCATTTCTTTATGAAGTAACTCTGACGTCATCAATATAATTTATTTTCTAAGCACCCCCACATATTGGTCTAGCCCCTCCTTAGCACCGGTGGCGCCCCCTCTGGCGCCGTGCCTGTCGCACTGTTATATTGAATCACGTTTATCAATAAAACACTGATAAAGCATACCCCCACTTTATTGGTATTTAAATAGTATATCTTAATGTTGAACTTTATTCATGAAAAGATGGCGCTGTATTAAGCAGTATATAAAAAGTGTTTCTGTTGCTCATGAAAACGTTTCTGAAACGTGTATTTGACAAATATTGCATTCAATTCACTTCATCTGTGATAAGAGTATAGGCAACAAACACTGCGAGAGCAGCCAGCCAGTGGCAGGAACGAGAAGTGAAAAAACAACATTTAGTGCACTGAAACAGACTTTACTGTTTCATGAATCGAATGAGTGGGTCTGGAATTTTACTACAATCTTCCCAAACAGCTGCAGTTTTATTTGACATGTAATAGGTTTTTGCTCATTTTTTCCCCTCAGCTTATTGTGTGCTAAAGGAAACTGCTCTGAAGGAAATGTGAGTCAAATGACTAATTATCCATGACACTATAATGGCCTATTATACGCATGCCATCCTTCCTACTTCCTTGTAGCAGACTAGGGATTAAAATATATGTATTGTAAAACTGTATGTCTTTATTGAGCATAGATATCTGTTCCTGATGTCACGTGCAGTTTCATGGCTTTTAGAAACTACACTGTATATTTTATATTTAGGCAAACACTGTTTCCGAGATATGAAAGTAGTCAAATACAATTTTTTATTAGCCTATAGTTTTTTCTTTTTACATTTAAATGAAAGTACTTATAATAAAAATTAACTTTCAGGTAAATTTTGTTTAATTCTCTTCATGTTAATCTTATCTTACGGTAATGCAAAGCACTATAGCATCTGAAACTTAATAGCTTTACACACATATACTATTCAGTAGTCAGAAGAGAAGGTCTTCATTGAGAAACAAGCAATAATTGTGATTAATTGTAGACAGCTGACCTGTACTGTGAATTGACCCATTATGTTGTAAAACATTAAGTGAGTAAACAAAAATTAAGTTGTAACTGCTTTAGTGAACAAACAGAACAATAACATGACAGTAACATGAATGCTTGTGTTTAAAATTGGGAAAGAACTGTATTTGAATAATGGCTTACGTTTAACATACAGGTCAGTGAGTTTGGTGTCAGGAGATGATGGCATTTGAATGTCATGGACAAGTAGCCTACTTCTCAAATTACATGTACATTTTTTTATGTTTTAATTTTTTTTTACATTAGTAAATATATTTATATTGCAAAATGTTATTTTGAAGATTATTAGCAAAGGAGTCACTAGACAATCTTAATAAAAAATTAAAAAAATATATATATATACAAATACAGGGCAGGACTTACAGGGCCGGGGGCCCCTGGGCTGTTTGGACCCCATACCTATACTACAAATGCGCTCAACTAGAACATTATTATGGAGTAACACAAAATACACAAAAATTTGTTGCAGGCGCCATACCACACAGTGATGCAGCTAGTCAGGATGCTCTCGATGGTGCCTCTGTAGAAGGTGCACATGATGGGGGCCGGGGCTCTGGCTCTTCTCAGTTTGCTTAAACATATTCCAGTCAGTGCTGTTAAAACAGTCTTGAAGAGCCTCTGACGACCCTTCCGGCCACACTTGTATCTGTTTATGAACTGGTTTGGTGACTTTAACGAGCATGTAATAGCATTAGATGTAATATTAAATAGTCACTATAGTACAATAAACAGGATGTGGTCTCTCAGTTGAGAGATCAAAACCCTGAAATAACTGAGCAGAAAAAAACAAAGAGATGTATTATTATGAAAATGTATTGTCATATCTGTGTCCTTTTATGTCAGATTCTTAAATTTAATAAATTCGATCTGAATAAAAGTGGCTATTAACAATAATGTTGGCTATTAACAATCAAATGAAATCACTATAAACAAAATCCATAGATGGATTTTGCATAAGTTAAGTTTAAATACACCATTTTAATGTAGAATATTAATGATCGCAAAAATGAGATGATGAACTACTTTTTAAAATATGAAACTACAACCGCCAGTAGATGTCTTAATGAGTGAGTTGAATCCTTAAATCAACTGATTAGTTTAAAATCCTAATTCATTTAACTTAGCAAAGGACTGTACTTATAGTCTGTTTGAACCATTTACTGGTCCGTGTAATGCTGAGAAACAAAACACTGTGTTGCTCGGAGACGCATTGATGGGGCAAAACAGAATTTTGTGTCTGAAAGTTACTCAGTAACTTGTTGTTTATTGTACATTTGCGATCGTGCAGATGTTCAGAAAAACAGGACTCTAGTTTGTGTTATAGGCTAACTCCTACATCATAGGCATTCACTCATTAAATGCAGGGTTCGTTCAACCAATAAATTTCCATGACTTTTATAGCAATATTTATGACCTAATGCTCCATTATTTTACACAAATGTTCAGATTTATCATAGCATATGCTAAGGAAAATGAATGATTATTAATGCTATTTGTTTGCTTTCTAATAAGCACAGGCTGCGACTGTGCCATGCAGATAACATAAGTTACATAATCACATAAATTAATGCCAGAATGTTAAGTATTGTAATTTGCTTAGCCAGTATTATAAATTAAACTCAGGACCTGAATTTCGTTTTAGAAACAGTTTTGGTGGAAAACATTCAGGTACAGAAATGCTGCAGAAATGGAATAAACTGTAAATTAAAAACCGTAAATTCACTGTAAATTAAACAACAGATTAATTCTTCAAATTAAAGTTGCAAAAGTTATTCAGTCAAGAGCAGTGAGTGATTTTGTCTTTTGTTG